AGAATTATTTCCCTCGCTGGTAAGCAGATGCTTGGTAGGCTGCTGATGTTGGCAAAAGTGTTGATTCCTTGAGGGTGTAGAATTTATGAAGAAACTTGTAGGAAAAGTTGTTTTCCATACTTGATATCCTCTTTGGTCGTTTGATGTACATTGACGTTTGCATAATGCGATGAATCGTTAATTCTCCACAGGGATAGAAAGAAAAGTAATGACTTTTGGTGACATGTCCTTCGGTTCGTTGCAAACTACCGAAGGAGTCACGTTTTTCAGGTTAAAAAATCGGGTTTCGAAGCGAGGCCCGAGTGATTTTTCCTGAAAAACTTGAAGAGTTCGTGTGTGTGCAAGGAACCTTGAGGAAAATACTTGATTAATTCTGAAGCTCGAGTGGTATTCGGAAGAGTAATTTTCTATCCAAATTTCGGCCAAGAGAATTGAGCTATGAGACAAAATCCATCTGTCAGTTTCAATGAGGGGCTCACTCAACCAGTAAATATTTTGTTTTTCGTGTATATTTCAACATGAATAATTACCATTGGAATTATTGAAAATTATCAGTTGAATACAGTGTTGACTACATAAAATAACAGTCGAACAGTGGAATTCTGTTGGCTGAAATTTGGTGATAAATTCGGAAAAATTAGAGATTGGTTCCTGAAAATCAGTGACATTACTCGGAAAATCGGTGGCACTAGAAATGACCAATAATCTTACTGATAGTTTCCTCAATTCTGATTTCGGCCAACCAGAGGGCAGTATTCAAGGTCACGTGCCACCTTGACATCTGTTTCATTTTGATAATTCACCAGGATACAAGTAAATTATGAAACTGATAATTCCACAGTAGCCGATCAATTATTTTCCCTTCTCCCAGATATTCCTCACATTTCGGTGAAAAGTGTCACTTAACCCCGAACACTACACTCTATTCGGGCAAAATCAGAATTGAGCAAGTTATCGGCCGAATACCCCTCGACCTTCAAAATTCATCGGATATTTCCCTTGAGCTCCCCTGCAAAGAAACGAGCGTATCAAGTTTTGCAGAGAAATCCCTCGAGCTATGCACCAAGAATGCTAAACTTGACACCTCCATTTCTTTAGAAGAATTTTTCGAAAAATATCTGATAATTTTGAAGGCCTCAGGGTATTAATAACGGGAAAAAATCCTGAAAATCAGTGACATGTCCCTAAAAGTCAAAACTTTATGTCTCAATGTCTATCGACTCTGACCTGTCTGCATCGTGTCAATGTTATCTGTGTACTTCAATGTGTATTTGTGATGGGCTTGACGTATGTACCTGTCTAGATGTTGGCTACTAGGTTGTTTAGATTGTATTCATTACTCTTCGAATGTTACATTTTTCTCCCGAATAAAAATATCGGGACAAGGGGGACGGACCGATGGAGTGAATACTCCACACAAGTGGAGTTTTCTCATTGTCCGATCTGTGACATGAAAACCTGATCAGTTCTCCCCCATTCGATCGATTTAAATGTGGAAAGTGGAACAATGAGAAAGGACCGATAACCAAACCCGAGGACACAGGAACAAATATCCTATAGGCTTGCGAAATGGGATGGTGAAGCGCCGGGCTGGGGGTGTATGGGAATGGAGTGGGGGAAGGCTCGGGTGGCCTGATCGTTTTCGCTGAGGTTTCAAGTACAACCGGGTCCCGTTATCGAGCGAGGAGGGACACAAAACGAGACAGAGGGAAAGCATAAAACCGTACCCCCTGGGATACACACGCTAAGCCTTGTTCTGGTATTTATCGTTTCGGCAAAGTTACGACGCGATTCCCCTGATCAAGCTTGAGCCCTCCTCTAGAAATCCCTGATAGTCCTGATATGCCATTGAGGGTGACCCGACAATTAGCGGCATTTCTACGTCTTGGGTGGGCAGTAAACGCTTTCGAAAACCGCAGCTGTCATGGACAATGAATCTGCCAACCGAAACCAGAACCCTATTCTACCCAAAAGTCCCTAAATACCCAAAACATCACATGTATTCTGTTTTCGCTCCAAAGCAGCCGTAGAACCAGAGATCAGGGCTTCTGAGTCTTTTCAATACACCCAAAAAAAGTACTTCTCATCAGTACCGACCGGTACTTGGAGGAAGTTCACACTGAGAGAAAAATATAATTCTTCTGACTATATTTCATCACCATCGAATTATAGTCAAAAAGTCCTCAACAATTTTTCATGGGTTACGGTAACTATGGCCGGAGAAGTAATTACTACAATGGAATGTAGTCATTGCATTAGTATATTTCTAACCTAGGGAGGGAAAATAAAGGATCCTCAGCCGTCAGTGCAGTTGGTAAGTGCGCGGCTGAGGGTCCTTTATTTTACTTCCCGTAGTTAGAACGCGATTTTCCATCTCGGCGCAGGTGCAAAGTCAGAGTTCCCTCCCGCAAAGCGGGAGGGAAATGTAACTTTGCGCCCGCCAGGACGGAAACTATTTTATAGTTCTACTCACGATAGATTTGTCGTGGTTACTTTTGAACTTTGGTTAGTTCAACTGCATTTTGATTTGCAAAAATTATGCCTGTGAAGTTACTATAATGTTATGTGCCGCATACAAAAAAAAAATCGTATCGTTCACCAAAACTGCCTCAACTATTTTCTTATTGTAAATCGAACTTCAGATTTTTCTCTCAGTGTGCCAGCTGTAGCGTCTACTCTGGTTAGGCGGTATACCCTCGCAAATATCGTAGTTATTGTGGAAAATAAATTTTTCAACCGACACCAAAACCCAATCCTTTACAAAGTTTTTGAATAACCAGAACATTAAACGTCGTATTTTCGACTCAAAGTAGCCGTAGAACCAAAGCTCAAGGCTTCAAAGTCCTTTCAATACTCCAACTATGTTCTGACAAGTTTCAATCGACATAACTCTGCAACTAGAGCTCTAGGTTTAGTTTCGAACTCGTAGCGCGAAACTTGTTGAAACGCGAGGTATTAAACACATTCAAACAAGTAGATGAGTGTTTTTACTTGAAGAGCCCCGATTCCAACCACTAAATAATGACCAGTCATTGGAACATTGAAAAAACACTTCAGGGGTGTTAAACACCGGTAGTCACAACGTCAACGAACGAGGTTGACGATATAATTGGCGTCATTTCCTCACCGTACTTAGGCAGTAAACCCTCGTAAAAACCGTAGTTATCATGGAAAAATAAATTTTTCAATCTGCACGAGAATCCCACTCTGCAAAGAATGAATACCCCTGAATACCGAAAGCACCCAATGTAATGTATCAGATCCAAAGGACCCATACGATTAAAGATCAGGAGTTTTGAGTCTTTTCAATACTTTAACTGCACTGTTAAAAATTTTCGTATGACTTTTCTGTGTCAAATTCTGGAAATTTTTATCATTTTGAATTTCCACTGAAATTTCAGCAAATCTTGTCATTGATAAATCAAATCAGTAGTGAAGTGGTAAACCGGTATAAGTCAATTTTAATTATTGCCCAGTTTTCAATGAATATGTCAAAATCTAAGGGAAATAGCAAAGTTGTTGTCATAACCTTTTTTATAGAGCAAATTGAGAGCTACAAAAAAGGAAATTACAACAATTTCGCTATTTCCCTTAGATTCCGAGCTATTTATTGAAAACTGGCCAATAGTCAAAATCGACTTATACCGGTTTACCACTTCGCTACTGAAATATTGTATTGATTTTCTATTCAAATGATTTGAAAATCAATAAAATACTTGATTTTTCAGTTCAATTATTTCGTAAAAATTCGGAAAAATCAGGAAAATTCGGGACAAAATTGAAAATTCATGTCATTTTGTTTCTGAATATTCATAAATTTCTTTGAATTCTACCTAAAACTTGAAATTTCATAACAATTTTCCCCCTAAATTGGATTCAATGCCACTCTTATGACAATTGCTACTATATTTTCCATGAAATTTCGAAAAAAATTTAACAGTGTATGCTCTGAGGAGTTTCGATAAACATAATTCTCTAACCAGAAACTTGTTGGAACGAGAGATATTCACCACATTCCAACAAGTTGATGCATTTGCAGTTTGTGCATTGATTTGAAAGGACTCGAGATCAACCCAAAAACACTATGGTCAGTCGTCATGGAATGAGACATCACCACGATTGACGTCTTGTGTACACCCTGGTTAGGCAGTAAACCCTCCCAAAAACCGCAGTGTTGATAGAAAATGAATCTTTCAACCGACACCAGAACCCCATTCTGCACAAAACCCCTTGAATACCTCAACACCAAATGTAGTGTATTAGATTCACAGTAGCCATAGGACCAAAGATAAGGGCTTTTGAGTCTTTTCAATACTCCACACGTTTGAAAAGATTCATTATAAAAACTTACCGAATTCGCTAGAAAATTCTATTGGGATTCTATTGAAATTCTAAGGAATTTTCGTTAAAATTCTATTTATTTTTTCCGCTGATTCTATGAGATATTTTATAGGAAAAAGTCCACAGTTTTCGATATTTTTTGGAATTTTTTATATAAGAATACTTGATCATGAACTTTCCAAGTTTTTTCACTCGGATCCTCCAATGCGAAACGAAACAAAATACAGCGGAAACAACTTGGAAAATCCGTGCCCAATAGTTTTAATTAAAAAAATCTCAAGAGAAAAATTTAAACAGAAAAATCGAAATCTGTTGACTTTTCCTATCAAATATCTAATAGCATCTGCGCAAAAGACAGAATTTTAACGAGAATTATCTATATGTTTAATAGAACTTTCTAGCCAATTCGCTAAGGTTTTCTATTGAATTTCTTCCCACGTGTACCTATGTTCTGACAAGTTTCGACCGGCACAACTCTCCAACTAGAACTCTAGGTTTAGTCTCGAACATGTGCCCCGAAACTTGTTGGAACGAGAGGTTTTCAGTCCATTCGAACAATCTTATCAGTGCATTGATTTGAAAAGACTCGATGTTGACCACAAAATAATTAGTTGTAATGAATCAAGAAAATAACTCAGGCGTGTAATAAAAACACTCAGTTTCCCTGGTGGTGGTGCAAATCGTCGACATCGACGATGGCAACGACACCTCCGCCGCCGATTGCCGGCTCAGCAACGGCTTCTGGCTCTGGTGGTGGGGCCCAGGGTGTCGTACTCTGCCCGCGAACGCTGTCACAGGTGCGTCGTTCCAAGCTCCGGAGAGCCCTCACCGAGGCAACCGCCGAGACCGTCAGCTACGTCAAGACGGTGGGAAACATAACAGTAAATTTTAGATTTCTTTCTTAATAAATTAATCACACTTGAATTAGTTTCCCCATTCACACAACCCAACACAGTCATCACGTAATTACACCGAATGGTAGATATCACTTAGATGAGTCTAGTCACCCTGCAATCATCTGCACCGAAGTATTTCATGTTTTTCAATCACTCGATGTCACAACTTTCTAGATCTAGATTAGAGTTTTATGACTGCGGAATTATGAAACTACTGCGGAATTCGTTCCACCAGTTTCCGATAATTTTATTTCTTATTTCTTCTTCTCGTTACGGCAGTTTCTCGGGCTTTTTTATTTTTCAATTGAGATTCTTAGGAGTAAATAACTTTGTCCAATGGCGGAGCGAAAAACTTTTCCCATTCGTTTGCTCATTTTTGTCGGGTATACTTCAATATCCGATGATCGAATCGTGCGATCTTGGGGAGACCAGTATCCATTCTCGCTCGTCACCTTACCGTGTACGGACGGTATGTAATGATGCGAGACCGATCATCGATTTTCGGGGCTGATGAGCGGACAAGAACATGGGGAGTGATAACAGAGTGGTTGAGTGAGGCTGAAATTACGAGATAAGGGAGAGCGCGGTCTCAGGAAACTGGAAAAAAAATGTGAATCACCTTCGGTTCATGTTCATGAGGTGATTCCAGGCTGAGGCAATGGCTATGCAAGCACTATGCTGCATGGAGAAATATGCATAATAGAATTTTTCAAGGAGATATAGGGAAAAATTACCGGAGAAAATGTAAACGGGTTGCAAAATGGAAATATAATGAAAAGTGCTCTTACTTGTGATTTTTTTTGAGACTAGGCGAGACGCGCGAGACATGTTGCATAAAATTGATTCTTCAATCAATTTTTCAAACTCGACGGTAGGGGAGGATGGGGCAAAACGGCCCCCCTTCAATCGTCAATATTTTCCGATTCAATAATCCGATTGGGATGAGTCAGAGCTCGTTTTGAAGAATGAAAAATTATCTTCAAAATGAAGTTGGAACTGGGAATTTTCACAATGTCATTCACAAGTTATTGACAATTGAAGGGGGGCCGTTTTGCCCCACCCTCCCCTAATTTGTAATTTAATTCTAATTCAAGTTGTAATTTGTAATTCAGTAGCGAAGCGGTAAACCGGCTCAAGTCGATTTTGACTTTTGGCCAGTTTTTGATGAATATCTCGGAATGTAAGAGATATAGCAAAATTTTTTTCATGACCTTTTTTATAACCCTCAATTGGCTCTACAGAAAAGGTCGTGACAAAAATTTTTCTATCTCTTAAAGATTCCCAGATATTCGTCAAAAACTGACGAATACTCAAAATCGAGTTGACCCGGTGTAGCGCTTCGCTATTGATTGATCAAGCGGATGGAGCGAAAAAATCACACGTTATTTTAAAGATCTCCTTGAGATCTTTAAATTGGTAATTAATAAATCCTCATTGGTTAAGTGCAAAGATCCAATAATGGATCAAAAGACCAAATTTTATGGTATCGCATGACGTTCAAAAGAGAAATAATCTCGAATAACTTCAAGAAACACCCCGGTGGCTTGGCGCAGTGGGTAAGTTCATCGCCTCACATGCGAAAGGTTCCGAGTTCCAATCCCGGCCGGGTAGAATGGTGCGATCTAACCATTTAAAGTCTCGATCATCATCGTAGTATATCCTAACCGGGTCGGAAACGATGTAAAATAACGATAAAAAAAACTTCAAGAAAGATCAACCAATGGCATTCAATGGATCACAATTTGAAAAACAAATCCCCTTTCAAAATTATATTTTTAATCCGCTGATCTTACTCAAAACGATAAAAAAATACAGCCAAAGTTCAATTTTTCAATAAAACATGAAAAAATCAATTTTTGACAAAAACTCTTATAACTTTGTGAAAAATTGTCGAAATTGAATGATTCATCTTTCAATTTATAGCTTATTCAATAAGCTTTACAACTGATATAAAAGTTCTAAGATTAATTGAGCCAAAAGGCAGTAATTTAGGACATTACGGTAAAAAAATGGCCAATTTTCAATTTGTAACATGCGAGATTCAAAACATAATCAGCCATAACAATTGATCAAGTGGACGGAATCAGGAAAATCACAAGTCATTTTGAAAATCTCGTTGAATTCTTTAAATTAGTGTATAATAAATCCTCATTAGTCAAGTGCAAAGGTCCGATAATGCCTGAAAAAAGCGAATTTCTGAGTGTGACATGACGTTCAAATGAGAAACAATCTCCATTAACTCTATGAAAATTCAACCAAATTGCATTCAATACATTACAATCTAAAAAACGAAGATTGCCCTTCAAGATGATATATCAATATTTCGAATGATTTGACGCAAAATAGTAGAAAAATCCAGCCAAAATTGATTTTCATGTAAAGTACGAAAAACCAATTTTTGCCTAAAAGTGCAATAACTCAATGGAAAATGATCAGAATGGAACGATTCGCGTATCAATTTGAAGCTTATTTACTAGGCTTTTGAATGAGTATGAAACATATAAGGTTCATCGAACAGGAAGAGAGACATTAGCGTGAAAAACACGAAAAAGGATCAGTGCCACGGTCACTGATTGTTTTATAAGGAAACATCGGGGAAAATTCAACCTTTTCTCATTCGCTGTTGTAAAATTACTCTTGAAATTGGAATTGAGTCAAAAAGTAATTCAAACTGTCGTAGAAATATCGATAATCATCTGGAATAAAAAATAGCTAAAATCGACTTGAACTGTTTTACCGTTTCACTACTGAATTTTGATTACTTCTTTCCCATTGTACGATTATTATCCACTATATCTTCCCATTTATGTACACATTGAATATTCAAAGCTCAAAGAATCAAGATTCCATGACATGAAATCCATGATGGAGAAGAAGATTGTGTTCAATCCAATCAATTTCCTCTTCGCGAAGTTATTACTTTTCGCCCTTGCATTGTCTCCGCCAGACACGAAACTCTATAAGCCTGAGGAGCATCTCACAATAGCAGAAAAGCTCAAGTCAGACTTTCTAGTTCTGTTTATTTGTTTTATCTCCAGTCTTATTTAAACGGGACTTTTTATTGAGTTGCTGGTGCTGGGGGAATAATTTCGTCTGCGAATGGAACTTTCATTTCCTCGGAGGGAAATAAAGTGGTGGAGAATAGGGCAAAATGGACCGTTTGTAATCTGAAATAAATCGAGATTGGGAGAGTGAGCTTCAACGAAACTTGCATCTTTCTCGAGCTCTTTGGATGTCCAAGTATTTTCATCATTTTTTTTTATTAGATTCTTTATCAAGGTTTATACAACATCAGAACTTTCGCTCGAGCTGGATATTGCACTAGCTTGCCGGAAGTTTTGCAATGATAGAAAACATTGTTTTCATCATAAAAAATTCTGCAAATTTGAGTGAATTTATTCATATTTAGAATGGTTCTAGAACTGAATTTATGACAATAAAACGAAAGTATTTCTGAAGAACTTCCGTCAAAACAACTCCGTCAGATTCACCAAACCACCACGCAATTGATTGAAAATTCAACGTAATTCAATACTAAATATTCATGTTTTCATGGAAAATTCAAGTAAGCTATACTGTTAAAAATTTTCGTCTGAATTTTTCGTGTCAAATCCCGAAAATTTTTATCATTTTTAATTTCCACTGAAATTTCAGGCAATCTCTTCATTGAAAAAGCAAATACTCTATTGATTTTCTATTCAATTGATCTGGAAATCAATAAAATAGTTGATTTTTCAGTTCAATTATTCTGTGAAAATTCCGTAAAAGAAGAAAATTCGGGGGAAAATTGAAAATTCATGTCATTTTGCTTCTGAATATTCATGTTCCACTAAAAATTCAATCAAGTTGTGAAATTTCCATCTCACTCCCACTGAAAACGGATGAATTGCTGTAAATTCCACTTAAAACTTGAAATTTCATAACCATTTCTTCCCTAAATCCGATTCAATGTCACTCTCATGAGATTAACTATAATATCTTCCATGAAATTTCAAAAAATTTCCAACAGTGTACCACTGTATACTGAAATTCAAGTACTGAAAACCAGAAAATGGTTTTTTCGCTGACCGAATGAATTATGACATTATGCCCCAAGACTCTACATGACACTAGTCTCTACCCTCATTTCAAAAGATCGCTCCCCAAACGATGTTCACACTCCTGTACACTGATTACTACGTGTAGTACTCCCTGCATTTTGCAGATGTAAATGTATGGCAGCGCTGTGTCCCTTTGTGCCTGATTTCTCTGTGCATATTATTAGCATAAATTAATAGTTACTAAAGCGTGCACGTAGTGAGTCACGCTCGGGTTGAAGCTCTCAGTGCCTCCAGTGTTTTGGTTCAAAGCCCGGTTTATTACACACAACTGTGCTCCTCATTGGCGCGTATGGCGATGAATCCAGGAGGAGAAGTTGAACCTTGACACGGCCATTAAAGGAAAAATCCAACATCAAAGGTGAGACAAACCAACCGAGTATTACACGGTTCTGTAGCTGTGGAGTGCCAATAAATTTCGCTCATTTTCAATTGCGAAGCGGTGAAACGATTTGAAAAATGAAGAAGTGGCCAGAAGCTGGTTAACTTAGCTGGAAAGAGCAAACGACGCGTTATCGAAAGATCCTGGGTTCAATTCCCGGTCTGGATCATGCATTTTATCAGTAGATTTTTCGGTAATGTGATAGAATAGCTCCCTCAGAATACCCCTATTGATTTAACCTAAAAAATTTTCAAAATTTCTGGCAATTTTTCTTAATTATTTTTGACATATAGATCATTACTCACATATACTCACATAACTATGACACTTATAGATGTTGTAATCAATCAATTAAAATCCATATTTTAGATGACAGAATTATTCGATTCTGCCTTTACACTGTTAAAGACTCGGAATTCGATTCAAGGAAAAAATGTCAATGGAATTTCAAGCTTCTCTGAAAATTCAAGGAAAGCCCCATTTTTTTCGCG